TGACCTATCAAATGAATGAGTTAAGTCAGACATTTGGCAAACTCATAGTACACATCCCAAGCTTTAAACTTAGAGGTAAATCACCTCTTTTGGATGTGTACATAAGGAGATATGAATTTCCAAAGTTTAGGCACAGAATCTGGAAAGTCCAGATTTTACCAAATAAACAGTAATTGTTATCCAATAAACTGTATGAATTGGGCAAGAATAAGTGCAATTGGGTATTTTTCCCTTAAAGAGCATTAAAATATCTTTTCGTAGAATTTTAGAACACCTCTATATGATCTTTGTAGAATTAGTTATGATTTTTCAAAGTTGGACCTGTAATATGAAATTTGCACAGTGAACAGTAATTTCGGAAAAGTAACGTCCTAAAGGAGATTTTAAGCTCAAGACCATCCAATGTGATAAAAAAGGATTCTAAATGGATTCTAAGATATTATATAAGTAAGGTGTGTCACATTCTATTCAAGTGATGGGTCAAGCCCAGGTAAAATGTTGGCTATTTTTGTAGATGTGTTAATATCTACTCTATTGGTCTCAATTTGAGAGAGGTATTGGAAAAGGGTAATAATCATAGTAAATAATTGGAATCACTGATTTTAAATACTTACAGTTTTTTGAGTAAATAATCTACATATCTTCATATACATAGTGAGATAGGACTGCACCTCATCCATGACATGCATTTTAATGCACTTCATTCCCCTGTAAAAGAGAAATGTTAATCATTTTGCATATATTATCATACTCTAAATGAGAGGCCATATTAAAATACCTCTTTAGCAGCTTCTACAAATGGGTCCATCAAATCCTCATAATAAGTAATTGCAGCACATTAATGCTAGAAAGGAAACTTTTTATTATACTCATTCAGTTTCAACTTGAGGATGAGCTTTTTGCCAAGCAAATTGTCCACCTCTACAAGGAATCTAAAGTGATCACCCTATATGTACACATTACACAATATTGTTGATATCAATTAACTAAAACAAATAGTAGATTATGCAGTCTTGCCAAACAGTTACACAGCTAGCTTATCCTAAAAGTTAATTAAAACTTTCCCAGTATTATCAAAGACAATATAATTAACTTTCAGCCTACAAATTAAAATGGAATAATGAGTCTAGTGCATGGTAATGTGGATGTGGAAAAAAGAACACAATTTGGATTAACATATGTAATACTTAGGTACCATAGCACTAGGGGCTTTTTCACAAGTTCCGTAATAAAGAGCCTCATTTTTATCCTTGGGGTTTTGTTGCACATTTAGAGCACCCATCATAGACCTATTTATGCCCAGTCTCTAATTTCATAAGTGTGCAATTAATTATGAAATGCTCCTCTTGCAATAACAAATGTCATGTATTCAATAAGGAACCACTTAACTAATAAGAATAATTAATGTAGAATAAACAATGGGTTTACAATTTTCTACTGTGGGATCTCAAATATCAGAGCTTTCTTATTCTTTTTTATCATGCTTAAAGCAGAGGGTTGAGAACTTTGACTTGGTCTGGGTTGGCTAATTGATGACATCATTGGTGAAGACATCTCTTTGGCACTATATCCATATCATACAACACATCATATATTGGTATGTAGAGATAAATCACATAATCATCTATTAACATAATCACTCCAGATAGTATTCTATATTCACATAATGAATTATATGAAGCGATATAATATATATCTATATTATATATAATTATAAAATGATATAATGAAAATCATAACCATCATGTATACTTGTAAATACCATTCAATGAACTCCTTAACAGCCTTGTTATTGGGATTTAAAAAAAAAACCCTAGTAGCATTGAAAGAGTTGCAAATTTAGTGTTTTCTTGTACATTCATTATCTATTGTTTAGAATCAATTGAGCTTGTTTGCGTGGCCAAAGTTGAAAACATTGACTATAATATATTCTATTCGCATTCACTTATCATCGTATGATAAACCCACCTCACCTAAAAAAAAATTATTTTTAAATTTTATATTAATAACTTAATATTTTGTGATAATAGTACAATTTAAATCATAACTTCAATACTACACTACTACAAAAAAGACATATAACAACGAAAAAGAATGACAGTTAAATTGAAAAACATCATGAAAAAAAAAAAGCGGTGGCATTTTTATAAATAAGTGTTGTGACCATTAACTTTCCACAACGGTTATTGAGAAAACTATTGTGGAAAGTAATTTTAATGGTGGTTAAATAAATAATCGCCGTTAAAAGTACTTTCTACAGTAGCTTTCTTAATAATTGCCATGGAAAGATTTAAACTTAACCCTATCATGTGTTCTGTTTTTCACATTTTCACAGTATCACATTAATACGCCGTGATCCCCCCTGTCCCACCACCACTGAACTATAATACTAACCAATCCCCCTTGTTTCCTGCTATTAAAAGTCCTCTATTTCACTTGTGGTTGTTTGCCACCGTCTTCCGCCGCCACTATCACATCTTATCACCTTTGAATCATCTCCATTGAGTGAGTTTCCTTTTCTTTCATTCTTTTCATTTTTTTCTTGGTTTTTTGGATATTTTGATAATAGAAATCTATTGTATTTCAATTGGGTTGATTGGTTTTACATTTTGGATGTTTTGCATTGTTTATTTTGAGTTTTTTATGTGCTTGGGGTGTTGGTTGGTGGTATTTGGAATTAGAAAACCTCAATTCCTTTCTATACAGTATTAGAAATATGTTTAAATGTTCAAATTTGATTAGCTTTAAATTTTTTATTTTTTATATAATTTTTTGATATTTTATTTCAAAATTTTGTTATATTTTTGTAATAAACTTGAGAATTTACTAATAAATAATCTGTTCAGTGTTTTGTCAATTGTTTTTTCCATTATGAACTTTGATTGATGATAAAGTGTTGTTTAAAATTTCATAGCAAATGGATATCATCTGTGTTCCTATTTTGGATTTAGAAGTTTTAGCTTTAAGAATCTTTATTCATTGAATTGGTTTGAGGTTGAATTGTTACATTTGTTTTGTTTGTTATATTTCTTCAAATTTATCTTGTCTTTGTTTATTATATTGTTGGTTTCGTTGATTGATTGATTTATCCTTTTTTAAATAATTTGGGATTTGTTATATTTAAGGGGAAATTCTATTAAATTTCTATAAAATAAAAAAAGACATTCTCTTTAATTTGTAATTAAGTGTTAGTTCATTTTAATTTATTGACTAATACTTAATTATTTTATTTATTTGAATATTTGAACTAAGGAGTTAGAATTAAGCTTGATAGTACAACTATGCTCATTGACTTTGTAGAACAATAGATCGTAGTTAGATGAAAGCTAAGAGCATTAGCAAAAAAATATGAGGATGTAGTTGAAAGGTTTCTTGAGTTTGCTCAGAGAAACACTCCTAGTAAAAGAGATGGATTGTATTATTATCCTTATGTCAAATACTTAAACAATAGTTGGCAGAGTATTCCTGAGATAAGAGAGCATCTTATCTGTGATGGGATAAATTTGAGATATACAAATTGAATATGGCATGGAGAAATTAGAAAGACTATACTGTCTGAAAAGGAGAAGGTTGTGAATGATGACTTTGGTGATAGAATTTCAAATATGTTTTGTGACATAAGGTCTAAGTCCTTTACACAGTTCTCTCCCATATGTGAAACCTTGTGTAGTTGTAGAGATGCCTTTGTACCCAGGGTGTAAAAATGATTACACAAGGTTGACAACCGTGTCAAAACTAATAAATTTAAAGGCAAGAAATGGTTGGACCGATGCTAGTTTCACAAAATTGCTTGAATTGTTGAGTGATATTCTTCCAAAAGGGAATTTACTTCCAAAACGAGTATATGAGGCAAAGAAAATTTTGTCTCTGATAGGTTTGGAATATGAGAAGATACATGCATGCCCTAATGACTGTATATTGTTCAGAAATGAGTATGAAGGGTTAAATAAGTGCCCTAAATGTAGGACTTTAAGATACAAAATTAAGAAAGGCGATGGTGATTATAATTGTTAAACTTAAGGTTTTGATGATAACAAATCAAGTAATCTATGTTTTAGTAAGTTGATCGATCACCTGATTGATCAAGGGTTTATTGATCACATGACAGATAAAATTCCTGTGTAAACAAGTAACTTAGCAGAAATGTTAATCGATAACATGACAGATAATTCAATTGTATGTGTTAATTGATCAATTGATTGATCATTGTTAACACTGTTTTGTATAGAAGTCTGCAGAAAATTATCAATCAATTGATCGATAATCTAATGATCGAACAACTGATAAATAAATAGACATAATTTTGGTAAGTGTTTATCGATCACATGATCGATAAATAAGTTATCGATGAGGAGACAGATAAATGATAAAGCTTCCTACTCACGCTGTATTATGTTTTAATTACCACTTATCGATTACTTTATCGATAACTTGTTCTGTCATTGCATAATAACTTACCTATTTATTGATATTTTCTTAGTGTTTAAGTATATTGACAAGTTCTTTATTAATCACTTGATCGATCAATGGTTTATTGATCAAATGATCGATAATCACCTTTGCACTAGATTAAATTATTTTGAGTTTTTCTTCGATTACTTGATCGATCATTGATTTATTAATGAAATGATCGATCATCCAATCTTCTGAATATTCTGTTTTCACATAATGTGATCAATCAAACATTTTCCTGGCATTTCAGAACTAAGTCTCTTGACTATATTTTTATCGATCACTTGATCAATCAATCCTTAATCGATCACTTACTCGATCATCATATATTTTGTGCCCTTTGTGAAAATCTTTGTTAAACCTTTTTATTGATCAAATCCTCTATCATCCATTTATCGATAAAGTATTCGATCAATATTCTTTGAAAATCAACTTCTGTTCAACTTAGCTTTATCGATAACCTGATCGATCAAACATTTTTCGATCACTTATTTGATCAATGATTCAGTTCTTTCAATAACAAGAAGCTACGGTGAGATTTAAAAACTTCTGAATATTTCTCTTCAAGCTTTTCTTACCCTGCCTGTTTATCTTAATTCTCTATTTTAAGGGACTCAAAATCATAGGTGAACTTGAGCCTTTTCTCTGCATAATCTTTCTGAAGTCACTCTCTTCATTTACCAATCACTTGATAGATCATTAGTTAATCCATAACTTGATTGATAAATATAGTTATCAGTTTCAAATTCTTTCACTTTATTTAATCGATAACATGATCAATCAACCAGTTATCAGTTTCAAATTCTTTCACTTTAAACATAACTTTATGTTTAAAGTACCTGGTGATTGATTGATTCCATTTCCAACTACCACATGAATATTATTATCACTTGATTAGTTATCTTCATGAGTTTCATTCTAAAAGAAAAACTTATTAGTTTCAAGTATTGTTACAGAATACGAAGTAAGCTCAATGATTATTTAGTAGCCTGCAACCTACCATGTCAGAAGCATTAATGGTGAATACAGTTGCAACTGGGAAAACACACAACCGAACTCCTAACAGGTAGAAGCTCTTCGGTCTAATGGCTATTAAACTTCTCTAACTATAAAAGGCACGAAGAAGCATTGAATGAGGAATTGAATACGCAAGCCCCTCTGCTGAAATATTTACTGTTGCATTCAATACTTAGTTTTTTTAACCGAGCTTTAGTGTTTCATATTCATTTACTTTGTGAGAGAGACTGATACACCTTCTTTACTCACTTTTTTAGAGTAACTCAAAAGTGTGGATTCTTGAGAGGGATTGTAACCTTACAGGTAGTAAGGGGGAGTGATTGAAAAAATCAATTGAAGTACTGAGGCGCCAAGAGCCTGATTAATCTATGATCATAGTGGAAATCTCAGAGGTGATCTGAGGACTAGACGTAGGTCAAGTGGTTGAGACCAAACCAGTATAAATCTGGTGTCTTTGATCTGTGGTGAAATCTTTCTTACTAAAAGCTCTCTATGTTTATTAATTTTATTGTTCCAATCTAGTTAAATTTTTTATAACTCACCCAATTCACGCCCTCTTAGGTAAGACTGCCACTAATAACAATGACATAACCAAAGGTCCTCCTTTGAAGGTTCTGTGGTATCTTCCAATAATACCACAATTTAAGCGTTTATTTGCTAATGCTACAGAAGCAAAGAACTTGAGATGACATTTTGATGAGAAAATATATGATGGAAAACTTCGTCACCTAGCAGATTCTCCTCAATAGAAAGCAATAGATCAAAAATTTCCTCAATTCGATAGTGAACCAAGAAACCTTCAGCTAGGGCTTTATACGGACAGAATTAATCATATGGTAATCTTAGTAGCACACACAGTGCTTAGTCAGTGCTCCTCGTAATTTACAACTTGCCTCCTTGGTTATATATGAAAAGAAAGTATATAATGTTATCTTTGATGATATCAGGGCCAAAACAACCAAGAAATGACATTGATGTGTATTTGGCACCTATGATTGAGGACCTGAAGAAATTATGGGAGGAAGGTGTTGATGTGTTTGATGCATATAAACAAGAAACCTTCAATTTACATGCTATGATTTTCACCACGATAATGACTTTTCGGCATATGAAAATTTGTTAGGATATAGTGTTAAAGGACATAAAGCATGTCTGATATATGAAGAAGGCACTCACTACATACAACTTAAACATAGAAGGAAGACGATCTACCTTGGTCACAAAAGGTTTCTTAGTCAGCACCACCCTTACTGTAGGTTGAAGAAGGCATTTAACGGCTCACAAGAATATCAAATAGCTCCAATACCATTAAGTAGAGAAGAAATTTATCAATGGGTGAAGGGAGTAAATGTGGTCTTCAATAAAAAGAAGAAGAAGATTGCTGGTGAGAGGAATATATGGGGAAGAAAAAGATCTATCTTTTTCGATCTTCTATACTGGTAAAGTCTTAATATGAGGCATAGTCTAGATGTGATGCATGTGGAGAAAAATATGTGTGAGGGCCTTGCTAGTACACTTTTACATATAAGTGGAAAAATAAAGGATGGAATCAATGCAAGATGGGAATTAGTTGAAATTGGAATAAGAAAACTCCTCCACCCACAAGAAAGAGAGGGTAAGAGGACTTCTTTACATCTAGCTGCTCACACATTATACAAAGGAAGAGAAAACAAGTTTTTGTGGTTTCTTGAATAGCATTAAGGTGCCACAAGGTTATTCTTCTAATTTGAGAAAACTTGTTTTAATGCAAGATTTGAAGATAACGAGGATGAAGTCTCTGTCATGTGTTGATGTAACAATTACTTCCAGTTACTATTCGAGACATTATGAAAAATGATGTGAGAAGCACTATTACAAGACTTTGTATGTTTTTTAATGCTATTTGTAGCAAAGTCATTGATCCTGCTCAGTTAGAAGAATTAGAAAATGAAGGTTGTGTGATCTTCTCCCAAATAGAAATGCACTTTCCTCCATTATTTTTTGACATTAGGGTCTACTTGATAACTCACCTTGTGCGAGAGATAAGACTTTACTGCCCTGTCTGTTTAAGGTGGATGTACCCATTTAAGAGATACATAAAAATCCTAAAAAGTTACTCTAAGAATCCTCATCGGCTTGAGGCATCAATTGTTGAGAGACATGTAGCTGAGAAGGCAATTGAGTTTTGTAATGCATATCTTGATAGGGTAAAGGCAGTTGGACTTCCTCAATCTCGACATGATCAAGGGAGAAGCAAGGGAACACGAGGTGTCATACTGTGGTCTATGTCTTGTGAAGTTGTAATACAGGCACATCTATATATTTCAAACAATACAGATGAAGTTTTGCCTTACTTGGATGCTCATAAGAATATGCTGAAAAACTTGAATCCAACAAAGAACAATATGCAACTAGCTAATAAGCATAATAGTCATTTGCAGAGTGGTTTAAGCAAAAAGTGTTAAAGTACGGTAATCCTTCTAAGGCAATACAGAGGCTAGCTGCAAGGCCTCATTTGTTTTGTATTGATTTGATGATTCCAATGGGTTTAAAATGTGTTTTTGTGTAGGGATATATTGAGAGAAAGTGTGTAAAATCATTGGAATCAAAAATGAAATTTTTAAAAGTCATATAGCCCCTATTCGGCGACTATGATTTGAGAAGGAAGGAGTTTGATTTTTAAAGATCTAATTAGATATTTGGATTCCTTATGAAAAATTATATAGGATTGAGCCAAAAGATAATTAATTTTAAAGTAGGAACTATGTTGTTAAAAATCAAAGAAAAAGGGGGAAGTGTTATGTTAAAGATAAAGTGTTGTGGTTGAATTGTTTAGTTGCTAATATAGCTTGTATTTATGCATGAATCAATAGGTTTTGGAAAGCGGATACAAAAGGAGGATAATTACTTCAAGGAGGTCACAACCTATTAAGCTTGAAAGGTAGCATTGAACTTATAATTTGATTGTTTGTCTAGCTTGCTTGATGTGCTATGTGGATTGTTTTGGTTTAATGGATTTATCTTGTGGAAATTGTTGACTTTATGACATTTGATATGCTTTGGCTAAATGCGTGACAACATGTTAATATGAAAGTGTTGATTCCTCTCTTGATTTGATGAAAAATATGATTTTATGTGATTTGAAGGTGTTTTGAAGGTCTATGACATATCACCTTATGCATTGCTTGATTAACATGATGATTATAGTTCATTGCTATTGAGATTTCTGTGAAATCTCAACCCCTATGTTAAATTATGTATCAATAGGGAGTGGACCAAGTATGGATAAAGGCAAAGAATTGGCATGAGCTAGAGAGGCCATGAAGATTTTGTGACAATGTATTAAATTATGTTGTATTTTGTTAAACTTTGTTATAAGTTTGTAATGAATTATCGATATGGAATACTTCAACATTATGTAAAGCATAATGTTGTACGGTGGTTTATAATCATGGTATGATGTGGTAGAATGAATGACAATTGAAAAGGAGGAAGGAAAATTGAAGAAAATATGATTTAGGGGATAAAAATGCCCTAAAAAAAGATATTTTTTTGCCACATAAAATAATAAGCAAATGGTGGAATTTGGACTTGAAATTTTGCAAACACATAGTTGTCATTTTTACATTTAAATCAAGTGATAAACCATTAAATGTGGAGTTATTGGCTAAGAGTTATACTCTTCCAAAGTTGAGCTAAAATACTAGAAATTTGAAAATTGACCATATGAACAGTGCACTTTGTTGAATTTTCTAGTGCTACTCTGGATGGAATTGAGTCTAATGAATATTTTTTTTCTAAAGAACTCTTAGCAAGCTTCAAGGAAAAATTAGAACCACCTCATTTTGATTTTGCTAAAATTAGTTATGAATTTCCAAAGTTGACCTAAAATCCAGTGAATAGTGTAGGGACAAATCGAAAATGAAAAATTTTGGGCTTGAAACTTCTCACTCAAGAGCTTTGGGAAATGTATTATAATAGTTCCAATTAATGTATAATGAGGTAATAAAGGAGGTGTGACATGAATAGTATGACTCAGAGATGCTATATCCCGTGAAGCAAGTAACAAACTTGCTTGTCGATGAGATAAATAAGCTCTTCTTAGAGGTGTGATTAGGGATTCAATTGCAGAACCTGTAGTCATCCACAACCGAAGCTTCTCTAAATGTGGATGTTAATTATTTTGAAGCCTCACCCAAATGTATTAAAAAAATGCATTTCTTGATCAAAAGCCATCTTATATCATGGATGATACTCCTCTTAGTTCTTTCATTCTGATATTTGTCGTCAGTTTAGATGTCTTTGTTAGGGTTTTAGTCTTTATTCCTTTCTTCCTCAATTTCAATCTTTCTGCCTAAAGTGTGACCCATTAGCTCATAATTATTAACGTCTCCATGTGAAGCCCAATATCTTTGAGTTGATTGAATTACTAATTCTTCATTTGGGCCTATTTATGTTTATGTCATCCATATTTGTCAGTTATGATACATTTATAAACATAGATTGTCAATAAATCATCATCATTAGCCACCAAATATAAACCTATCATTATCATTATTGAATTAAGCACTTTAATCAAATCAAATAATCGCATAATAAAATAATCCATAATGAATAATCAATTATAAATTCACAAAGTTTGGGTTCATGGCTAATCTACCTATTTGTATATCCAAATAAAGCCAATCATTTGTGGGCCTTAAATTTGGTCCAGCAAGTTTATTGTCTCATTTTGATCCATAGAATTCTATAGGCTCATTTAGGTAAAGTCAATCTGAATTATGGGATATAGAAAAGCCAATAAGGAGTAAGTACCAAAAGTTAAAAGAAAGTGCTTAATTAAAAATTAAATCAAAGTAACAAACAAACATTAACAAAAAAAGCACTAATAAAACCATCAGCAAGCTCCTCAGGAAGGTGTATAACGAAGAATAAGAAAATATCAAAACAAACACCTACTGCCTCTTAAGAAATAGGACCATAACAAGGAAGACATAATGTTTTTCTTTACATCTACGGTACTGAATATATCACCTCATCTAAAAGTTATGCTTCTTTGGTGAGACCATGAAGCTGTTATATTTGGGTATTTTGACCATAGGACTCCACATGTCCTCATATGGTCATGACAATATGCATTAATACATCCTTCCTTGCATTCCACTATCAACCAGCATAAACTCTAATCTTCTGGACAACATAAACATAAACGCAATAAGTCATTAAGACGAAGAACATATATATCAAGTGGAGGTTAAACAATTGCTAATAGTAAAGAGGAGGAAAGAAACATCCCTATGGCATCAAGCAACTTACCACTTATATTGACAAACGCAACATAAACCTGCAAGGGAGCCATGTTTAATAGCTGTTTAAGGATGGGAGGTGAAACATCCTACCTTTAACCCCTCATAGTGTGCATTCGTAAGCATTATGGTTCGAGCATGTCAAAATACAAACCCATGGATTTAAAATTTTATCATAACATTAACATATGGATGCCATGGAAAGTAAGCTAAAGCATTTCATACTTTCATAACATATTGCCAAGGCAAAATATAACATAAACTTGCAAACATAACTTTGCAAGCATTTCATCATAGCTTAGTCACATCATGGCAACACAACCACATCATGCAAGCATACATATCAAGCACACAATATAGGTAAGTTTACTACTTTGTAACATAGCTTTCCTCTTGCTTTTCCTTTGATTCTCTTGTCTTTCCAACCCTATGAATTTTCAGTCAACACCATTAAACATCCTCTTGGATGTTTCAAGGTCCTAAACACATCAATACATAATGCAAAATAATTATTAGAATCAAGTCATCAACTTATCTCTACTTAATCCTTTCTTGAACATACTTGAACTCTAACTCTTGAGTTAAAAGTCCAACTTTCCTAAAATTATTTCCACATGCAATTCCCACATAATTTTGCATATAGAATCCATTTTCAAGTTTGAAAAAATCAAAATACAATTCTAACCATTCAGACCAGTCAAGGCCGAACAGAATCATAAACTACAGGAAAGTTGGATTTCTTACAAAATCAATACAGAACCACTTGATTCCTATTGTTTCAAAGCCTTTAAACATGTTTCTAACATCTATTCCATCTTCTCCTATTCCAATAAATTTTGTGCAGCACCTCCCCATAGGATTTCAATCATCAAAAATCCAATCAAACCATCAACCAGGATCAAGAATAACAAGGGAAGTGGAAACTACATCAAAAACGGCACACATACCTTGTTTTAGAGCTTGATCTGGCTTAGAATCATTTGGCCTTTCTTTCTCCCTCTTCTTTCTCTCTCTAGAAATCATTTTGCAAGAGCTTTCCCAAGGTTTCAAGGTGCTTGGACGAAATGAGAGGGAGGGAAGGGGTATTTATAGAAAATAAGACTAAATATCGACCGTTGATCTTAAAAATACGTGGCTTGATCTGGACCGTTGTCTTGCATCCAACTGTACACGTGTCTTGCATCCAACTGTACACGTGTCTTGCATCCAACAGTACATGTAATACCTTCTTTTCCCATCTAACTGTACACTTGTCTCTTCCATATTCCTTCATCATTTTGGCATTAAAATATGGAGGAAATTAATATAAAATTCGTCCAAAATATAGCCCTTAGGCATTCCTCTACCTATTTTGCTATTATGCATTTATCGGGTACTTTTTTGAGTCCTGACTTACCCGGTACCACTAGGATATGTTCTAGCACCATTTTCTCATCTTAATTAAATACATATATGGTGCCATCTTAGAGGAGCATAGATAAAAATAATTAGCTCTATTGACAGGCTACTTAATCTTATTGAGTCACGCAGTAGAGATTTCACTACAACGGGTAGACAAAGGACTGTCTAAAATATTCCCGTACTGTATTCTGATTTTTATGCTGTCCATAAATATCTTCTGCTGACTCAGCATGATGACTCGTAAGTGTCATGATTACATTTGGTGACTCAACATGCTAACTCAGCTCTATCATGATGGTCTTTAGATATTTTCTTTCTCCTTTTCCCATAAGTATTATTAAATAATACTTAATCGGGATTACCTTCTCCGAATTCTTTCTATCGGCTCGTAATTCTGTTGATATGTCTTTGGGTTTCATTTTTTTCCTTTCATCATGGGAAATTCCTCTAATTTTTCTTGCGTCAAAAGTCAAACTCTAGACAGCTACTTTGACTTTTCCCGGATAGGGTATAAATAGGCTTTAAATTTAATTAAAGCTAACCTTGTCAGTTTCTAGGGACGGAATTAATTTTACAATCTGTGTAAATTCCTCAACTACTGTCTCCTAGTTTTTCCTGATTATTTGAGGCCGTCTCGTAGCTTAAATAATTCAATTTAAGTTACTATCTCAAATTGCTCGAAACCCTGGAATGACTTCAGGGCATTTCCATCATTTCTAGCCTTATATCGGCTCTGGGATCCTATTCCCATTTTTCTAGAATTTTTCTAAGTCATTTGGGCCCTTTTTGCTAACTCTGAGCATTGGCCGACCAGAACTTTTATTATTTACAATTAGGTCCCTACTTGGCCTAGAAATCTTTTCTTTACAATTTGGTCCCTCCTTAGGCCTAACCTTTAGAACCATCTCTAGCAAGTTTCTGGCATAACCTCTGGCCCTTAGTTGTTTCCAGTTCGTCATTCTTTAGTCCTTGAACACTATTGTTTTACACATTTGCCCTTGAAAAATCTCTTTTTCCTTCCGAGGGATCTCTGGGACTTTTGTTGCATTGGACTTAATAATCATCCTTTTCTTGTGCTATTACTTGTATCTATGAGTCAAAATTTGGGATGTTATAGGAGGCATCCATCAACCCACTTTTATTCAAGGAAGGATCCATGTTTAATAGTGGTTGAAAGAAGGATGCTTTGGGGAAGGGGGGAATGGGTTTGAGAATTAATAGAGACATTGATGATTAGAGAAAATGGATGCGGAGTCTAATTTATATTGGGTTTGAGGATGGGATTACACCCATGCATACACCCATTAGCCAACATGAAGCCCCAAATGACACTGCTTTTTCATACTTGAGCCAACAACATCCTTAGGAACAGTGATCTGAGTGTGAAGCCAACCTTAAGCTGATGTTTATTATCAGCTGCTATTGGAAGAGTATTAGTAGAGACATTGATTGTTTTCTGAGAGTTAGAATTAAGATTAGGTTAGTTCAAGCATTTTGGTTAATCTGGTGTCCTTTTCATCTCCGAGTAATGTGTATTAGAGACTTAACTTACTTAGAAGGATTTCCTAAGCATAACGATTCATTTTCCAAATGATGTTAACCACCTACTCTAGGTTTCTCAAGAACTTGTCTGAGTCCTACTTCTTAGTCACTTAAGTGCACTTAGATTAATGAAAATGATCGGAACATTCATTTCATCACCCCCTTTTTCCAAACACAAGCCTAAATATTTTATCCATTGTGAACTTGATCGGGCCTATATTCCCTTAAGTTCATTTTCTTTCTACCAAGCTATTGTGCAAGAATCATTATTATTTCTTAAAGCATCTATTCATATGGAAAGATCTTGATTCTATGTACAAAAGTTGAATGCCATGTACAGAAAAGAAAAGTTTTTATAATTGAAAATAAAGGAAAAAAGAAAAAAAGAAAAGTCAAAGAAAAGAAATACAAGAGAATGCATTCTTGAAAGAATCTTGTAAATAGTGATATGCTTTGAGCTTAAGTTCAAATTGTATACATTATTTGATCTCAATTGTGCATACATAATGCTTGTTGCATTCTTTTCATTCCATGAGACATTTCCCAACATTACAACCTTGAAAAGTCCCCTTGATTTAAGAGTTTAAGTGCCAAATAGTGATAGAGAGGTTAAAATTAGCAGGGCTTAGTTTAGATGGCCTTGAGCGAAAATTTTCCTATTTACGAGTTGAGTGAAACACTTAATAATCTAATGAGTTCTCATTTGTGCATCTTTTTTATTAATTGTGCACTATGTTAACTCATTTGCATATGCTAGCTCTAAGGTTTTTGTTGGGTTGAAGTTCATGATTAATTGGCTTATGACTTTCTTATCACACATCCACACAAAACACAAATTAGACTCTCTTACAAATGTGTATTGATATATATATATATATATGTTAGGAACATAATTGTAAATATTATATTGTGTACATATACAAGTTTCTACTGTTTTAGTCAATTAATTGGTTATACCTAACTAATTAATGCAGGGCCTGCTAAAAAGAAGCACCTTGTAATTAAAAAAAATGCACAAATACATGATGGTTCTAGTGGAAAAAAGCTAGATATTAAGAGGCAACAATAACAGTCCTCAATTATAGAGCTATCACATATTATGACCCGTAGTCCTAAATATAAGAGCTAGTTTGTATTGTTTAATGCAATTTACATTACAAACTAATTCTTTTATTTAGGAATGGAGGTAGTATTTCATATGTGTGGAGGTTATGGTATAAAATCTGTTAGTTATTTACTCAATACATGATGGTTTCAAGCTACCATGTCTTCATCATTTAGAGAATAAATGACACGTCTTTACATGACGATTACAAATCATCACGTATAGGCAAAATTAACCAACTTGTATCAATAATTCTTTAACAGTGGGTTCTATCATAAATACTTAGTCTTCAAGACCTAGATAAATTTTTCTTTAGTTATTAGTCTTAAGGACATGGTAAAAATACCATTTATAACCATCAATTTGTCAAGAGTCCTTTTGCAAACTCATGCTGTTAATTAAGATCACTAAGTAACCTTTTACAAAGTAAACGAATTAAAAGTAATATGTAATTTCTTGTCACTTAGTCACAACATAAAAATCAATGTGCTAACCATCTCAATATTTTGCTTTTAAGATATCAATCAATTGATATCAAAATTAATAATTCTCATTAATCATAAAAGTAAAGCAGTTATACTTTAAAATAGATAAATATTAAATATAAGAATAATGTGACAAAATGGTAAAAAGACAATATTATAGCTTCATGTCATGAACAAAATGCCATGAATTCATTAAGTAGAGTCTCATATTGATAATATATTATAAAATAATTCACCCACTCTTGAGAATATCCTACACTAACAGAAAGCAAAGAGAAGATGAAATCTCTCAACGGCAGAGTTTGAGGTCTAATAGTCATTGCCAATCATCATCTATGAAAGGAAGAGACTTCAAACAAAGGAATTAAGAACTCTCTAGTGCACATGCTGAAATGCTACAGCAGTATAGCGATCATCTTTGAGCTTCATTTTATATATGCTCTCGCATTGTTCATTGTACTCATCAGTATATTGTAACATTGCATGGATGGAAGTAATAGGGAGTGGTTATTTGGTACCTAGTTAAATCCTTAATTATAAAAGTTCTTAAATGTCTGAGAAATTCGAGGGTTTTGTAAAGTCCTCAAGTACATGTGAAGCTTCAGGGGACTGTGAAGGTTTTTACATACTCATAAAACTTGGAGATTGGACATAGGCCACTGCAAATTGGGTTGAACTAGCATAAATCTTATTGTATGGATTGCTTCTTGTCACTTATATAGGTGATATCCTCCTCTGACTTGAACTCTTTATTCAACTCCAGTACTCCTGGTTTAATTAATTTAATATCTACTTAACTAAGTGTTAAGTTTTTATTTGATTTATAAACACCTAATTCACCCCACTCTTAGATGTATTTTGGACTAACACATCACTCTAAAGTGTTATATGGTTTATTTCAGCATCTTAAAGTATTTTTTTATATGCGTCCAACATCTTAAATACCCTAATTGTAAACCTAAAATTGGATGCTCAATGCACATGAAAACATACTTCAAAGTGCTATCATAAAATACTTTAGGGTGCCAAATACACTTAAAAAAAAAAAAAATTTAGAGTGTCGGATGAACCATTAAATATTTGAAAAATACTTCAGTTTGCTTGATAAATCTTAACCCACCATAATTTTTATAGTTACATGTGTACAGAATATAATTTTAAGATTCTTATAAAAAAAGAATATAATTTTAAGATGGTGATATAACACTTTATTTATTTAATTAATTTTATGGTCATAATTATCATGTTGCTGTCAGTTGTGAAATATCATAGGAAATTTTATTAAAATATTTTCATAATTTCATAATATTTCTAAAATTGATACGTAATTAATATATCAATCAATTATTGATCATGAAAATGGAATGGTATAAAATTTATAAGATCGATGGCAAAAAATAAAAAATAAAAAACTTTATAAGATAATAGATCCAGTGTTGTTATTAATTTATGAGGAATTTATAAACCGGGCTTTCTTCCGTATAGCGGATGGGTTTTTGGCCGGTAAAGCACGTAGAAAAAGAGTTGTTTTCCAAACACCCCTTAAGCCTAGCCCCAAGCAACTCCATCCTCAGTCCGTCAGTCCGTTGCCTTGCATCGATCGCCCACCGCCGCTCCATCTGGTTCTGTCCTTCGCTTCGCTCCCACCGTTTCTTCTTCATTGGCGTCGCTCCCTCTGGTGAGAGACTTGCTTTGCAGCTGCGTCCAGACGTACATTTAAATAGGCACCTCTCGATCGCTCCACTTTGGCATCGCTCCCTCTGGTTCTGTTTAATTTGCTGCCTAACCTGAGTTCCATCGAGAGTACTAGGGTCTTGAGATACCTCTGCCCATCAGAAGTCGTTTGCAGGGTGAAAGGGGGAGCTGGTTGCACTGGGTCGCTTGGTGTTATTGTTTTATCTCGAATAATGATTTTGATTGATTTCATCAAGGGAAGGAGAATTTGATTTACTCTTGGGGAAGACCGTCAAACAACAAATGGTAAGCAGGATTTTTGTTGATCGTGGAGTTATTTCACGGCAAGTTTTGATTAATGTTCGTCCCACTTACGTCATTCCACTCTTCTGTTGAGCCTGGTCTCAGCCGCAGCAAAGGCGCTAGTTTAACAGTCGTCTCCCTTCGGCGGAAGCTCCATCTGAATCCAAATCTGAGAAGCCCCTCCTTCGCTATTTGCGGCGACCGTCGTATCTCCCAGGCACCGCCCTCCCTGGAAAATGAAGCGGGCGTGGAAACTCTCTGATGCAGCACAAGCAGAGTTGTTCTGCTTCCACAAAACGTCACCAAAGCCAAAACCCCGTGACCCCTTTCCTTTCTTCCTCCTAAGCTCTGCGAATTACGCATGCACCCCCCAAGTCAATGCCCACACTCGATCCTCCGAACATTCCGTGCTCCGAGGGATGGTTGGCTTATTCTCCCGCAACCCCTATTACTTCAATTGGATAGGCCGAGAAGATTTTAAAAGGGCAGTTGCGAACTTGGGATGCGAATTGGTTCGGGTAGCCGATGACCCTCATGCTGTTCTTAATATTTTGGAGGAGAATTCTCACTTTTGGTTTTGGAGTTGTCCTGATGGGACGGCCCTTGTTGATCTTTTGGATCTATTGGAATCATGGCCTCACTTGTCTCTAATGGTACATTTGAATAGATGCTAATTGATCTGATTTCATCTCCAATTTGATGGGTAGAATTATTGTGTGTCTTACAATTTACTTCATCTATATCTCTTGAAAGTTTGGACACATACATGGAGTATTGTAGGGCATTTGCATAAGGAATACGTATTTTTACTTGCATGTTCATGAATGAATACTCTTGGTATGCTTGGACACTCGAGAAACTATAAGTTTTGATTGTTAAAGTATTAGGGCTATTTGACCATAATGTGGGGCTTTCTTTATTTCTTGTTACATGTTTTCTGTTCTGCCCACTAATATCATTTAGACCTGTTAAATGGGCTCGGATATTTGGCGAGATAATGTAAAGTGTTGAAGTATATCAGGACATTTCAAGTTGGTAATAAGTGATAATTGACGACTATGGTATAATAGTGTGTTTTAAACCTATTGCAAATAAAAGTATAAAATTCTTCTGACTTTTTCCTCTGTTTATCTCTTTTAACATTCAGGTTTTAAACTGGAGAAGAAAAAGTTCTCTTGCTGGCGCTCCCATGGCTCCTGCAGAGTACTCTAAGGCTATCAAAGTTGCTGGTAGATCTAAAAATATTGATCTTGCAGTTGACCTATTTAATGATGCCACAACCAAGCAAATAAAAACAACAGCTATTTATAATTCACTGATGGCTGCTTATATGTTCAATGGGCTTCCTGCAAAATGCAAGGCATTGTTTGTGCAGATGAAGAAGGATGGAACTTGTCACCCTAACATTATAACCTTCAATATCCTTATTTCTGTTTACGGTCGCTTGGTACTAATAGATCGTATGGAAGCAATATTTGAGGAGATACATAATTCAGGTCTCTCCCCGAATATAAGCACTTATAATTACTTGATTGCTGGGTATGTTACAGCCTGGAAGTGGGATAAAATGGAACAAACTTTTCGAATGCTGAATTCAAGCCCTTTTATACCTGACACTGACACATACCTGCTGATGCTACGTGGGTATGCTTATTCAGGTAATTTGAAGAATATGGAAGAGACATATCAGTTAGTGAGGGATTATGTAAATGAGAATGAAATTCCTTTGATCAGGTGTATGATATGTGCATATTGTAAAAGTTCTGAGCCTGATAGAGTGAAGAAGATACAGGAATTACTGAACTTGATTCCAGAAAACGAGTATAGGCCTTGGCTAAATGTGTTGTTAATTAGGCTTTATGCACAGGAGAACTCCTTAGAGGAAATGGAGAACTCAATTAATGAGGCATTTCAGCACAAAGTCTCAGTAAAAACAAGTGGTATAATGCGATGCATCATTGCAACTTATTTTAGGAAAAACTTAGTTGACAAGTTAGAAAATTTTGTGAGGCGTGCTGAACATTCTGATTGGAGAATTTGCCGCTCCTTATACCATTGTAAGATGGTGATGTATGGATCACAACAACGCTTTGAGGAAATGGAAAGTGTCCTGAATGAGATGGAAAGTGTCAACATGAGTTCGACAAAGAAAACATTATGGATTTTGTATAATGCTTATGTAAGCTGTGATCAGAGATCCAAGGTGATGAAAATATTGGGACTAATGTGCAAGCGTGGATTTGATTTTCCAATGTGTGCAGTATCATCGTAAATTACATTATTTGGGGCATTCTTTGCTATTCATAGATGAGTTAACTGTGCAACGAATATCTTCTCATTGGTCTGCTGAATGCATCTAAAATGTTGGCCTACGCAGCCCTATGTAGCTTGTTTCGTGATGGGAATACATTCAAGGGATTTTCATGCCAACGCTTGGGAAAAATTCCTGTTGTTTGTGATGGACAACCATCTCTAACAACATGGGGTTCTCAAATAATTTATATGTATGCTTCTTTTCTCAAAGGATGTCAAGCTTATATGTATGCTTCTTTTCTCGAAGGATGTCAAGCTTTTATTAAGGAGCTGCATTTCTTGTGCCACTGTGGTGGAAATAACTCATCCTCAAAATACCTGCCTTTTTTTGCCTTAGTAAAGACTTTAGGGCAAATTGCTATGGAAGATTGGACTGCTTTGTTTTCTGCCTTAGAGGATATCCTATCTTCCATCTAGTTGTACTTCTATCTCTTCAGAATATATTTTTTTTCATTTAACAAGCTAATTTTTAAACTGAATGTGTGTGTGTCACTGCTCTTCCGTACCCCCCCTTTTCCAGGCGGCAGTCTGGATGCTGGGCTGACATTAATTATTGCAGAGAAGATCAATTCCTGAGTTGCTCTGACTTGGTTGCTTGCACTCTAACTAAGTAAACTGTGTTGTAGGAATCGTATTTTGTATGATAGATGTCTGACTCCACTTTGCACTTGGTCTCTACACATGTTATTGCATTGCCTCATGGGGTGGGCCAGCCCCTAGAAAGTAAGCCAATAAGGCTAGCAGCACTAATATCAGTTCTAAGCAGTCAACATTCTGAAGAAGGAATAATATGAGTTACTGTTTTTTGGTAGTACTTCTGCTTAATGCATTTTGTCATTTCTGCCTAAATACTTTTGGTGAAGCCTGGCATCTGTCTCATTGACTACTGTAACAATTAAAAGATATTGTGTATGCTACTCATTCTATCAGACTTAGTGAATTTATTTATTGGCAACATTATTTGATTATGTACATTCTATCCAACTTTATTAATGTTTTGTTTCAAAAACTAATACTAATGTGTTGATCTGCCTACGGGCCCTCCATTCATCTCTATCTCTCACCCCTCATGCTTTACACTTAGAGATGATGGGTTCCTCACTTCTCATACACGGCATGTTTGGGTTAGCTTTTTGGAAGTGACTCTACGGTGCTCAAGGTAAGTATGTGAGAAGAGTTTTGTCTCCCTTTACGTGAAAATACTTTTTTCAGGTGCTTTTTGAGTTTTCCGAACTCCCTCATAATCTACATAATCTAGCTAGTGGGAAAAAAAGTGTTCTATATCATATTATGATTTTAGTTCTTGTTCTTGGTGAAAAATGGTAATTAATGCTTTGTGGAAGCACTATAGGTATTTTAGAGTGATTCTTAGATAGATCTTTTTGTTTTGCTGTGGATGGGTCATTTTAAACACTCCAGGCTCTGCAATTTGCTCAGATAATCTTTCTCCTTATTTTCCTATCCCTGGCAATTTTGACTTTACCTTTTGTGATAATTTGATTTTAGTCACTGTTTTTTTCCTTTGCCTTGCCATTTGCTTCCAGAATGTAGTAATTGTTTGGCTGATGTGTTTGACAATCCTAATGTCACTTTACTAATATGCTTAAAACAATTGGTTTGCATACTGGAATTTTGTATGCATGTGTTCTGTAGGTTCTGATTTATGATGCCACCAATGGTGTTAAGATTCAAAGCTATTAGTTAATTACAACAACAACAAAGCCTTATCCTACTAGGTGGAGTCAGCTACATGGATCGCATGATGTTGTTGAGCCCTATCTAACGCCAAATCGTTAGATAGATTGTTAATTGAGAGATCTCTCTCAATGATTTCATTAAGCGTTGTCTTCGGCCTTCCTCTACTCCTTTTTGGAGGACTCTATATTGTTTGCTCAACTCTTCTTACCGGCACGTCCTAAGGCCTTCTTTGCATATGATCAAACCATCTCAATTGGTTTTCTACCATTTTCTCATCAACAGCAGTCACTCCAACTTTTCCTCTTATATGTTCATTACGAATTTTGTCTTTTTTTTATATGACCACACATCCATTTCAACATTCTCATCTCAGCAACTGTCACTTTATGTTCATGTTATCCCTTTAAAGCCCAACTCTCGCTGTCATATAACATTGCCGGTCTTATAGTAGTACTGTAAAACTTTTCTTTGACCTTATTTGGTACTTTCCGATTACAAAATCCAATATCTCATTCTATTGAAAGAAGAACTAATGGCTCGTTATTACCATGATGTGACTGGTTGGGCATTGATGGAAGGATGCTTGAAAGGATTGATAATTCTAGTGATTGGAAATGTCACTCGTGAGTATACTAGACGTAGTGGCCATGAACTTATGTCTTAAAATTGTGACTTGCTGCTTCCTCACCATGCGTTTAGTTGTGTATACACAATTGCTAGAGTGGACTGCACACTTCTAATAAATTGGAATCCCACCTGAATATTATTTGCTCTTTGATACAGCTTTGTCTTTTATATAGTCCCCCCCCCCCCCAATGAAATGCATTATTATTTTATATGGAATCAGATATATGCTTTTCATCCCCTTTTAGTACATACTGATTTCCTCCCTAGTTGCAATTGTTGTCTTTTTCCTCCCCGATGGTGTCAAATTTCTTAAAGATTTTCCCTTTTTAAGAGTTTTTATGCATGTCTGCTACTGCTTGGTTGCTGCTTGCTTTTGTTTATATTTGATATTTAATTGATTTTGAACCTTATAGGTTTTAAGATTGCAAGAGCAGTTGCAAGCTGAGGGGGATCCTAGAGCCGCATTGGAAGTTGGTTTGAGCATGTCTTCAGGACAATTTTCCCGTTCGCGTGGCATGGATTCTCAGGTTCTTCCTGATTTTAGTAGATTTTTGCAGTTCTTTAAAAAAAAATCTATTTTGTGGCGGCCATGATTTTAAAAAATCTAATTATTTAAAGACAAGGGCTGAGCTGGAGGCGGTTGCCCTCACTGAGGCTGATGTGGCCAGGCTGAAGTAGAAAGTTGCAGAACTCCACCTTTAGCGACAGCATCACTATGGTTCATTTGCTGATGCGTGTCATCAGTATCGACTTGTCCCGCATTGTTCTCATCAGTGAATATGCAGACTTATTTTAACGTTGAAAGCTTGCTTGACTTCTGACATTAGGTAATAGTTTTATGTGGCATCTGAACGGCTGAACCTAGCTTTACCATCATCTTCATGTTGCCAAACGAAAAATATAATGTCAATTTATAATTCTGGCCATGGGTACTGTTTGATACTGTTATTTAGGAAGTTCCGCATGAACTCGATAATACCATGACAGGCAGACGCCAATACTTGGTATGAAGTTCAGGGGTCAAATAACCAATTTATGGACTAAGGGTGCTGCCCCAACTTCAGAAGACACTATTTTTGTTTGTAGTCGGTGCTTGAAATATTGCACTGGACGTCAGAGTAACCGTCTCAGAAAAAGTAACAACTTATTTTGAATGGGTTCTCTTATTATTATATTCTTTCATTTTTATTACTACTTCCGGTCCTAATTATAAGAGCCAGTTAACTAATTTGAGGAGTTTAAGAAAGTAAGTTGAGTTAGTTATTTGTCTTAAATAGGTGTTGTTTTTCTTAAAATATTTTTACTAATCAAGTGTATTGACTTAAATTATCATTGTTAGAAGGGTTACTTTGAAAAATATATATATAAGTATGAGAGACAGAGTGAATGGGGATCTTATATTTAGAACCAAAATAAAAGTCAAATACGGTTTTATATTAAGGATCGGAGGTAGTATATTGCACTGGGCTTCATCAGAGTAATAATGCTTCGTTGCCCTCCAACGCGGGCACCCGAGGTAAGATTGTAAGAGTTAAGATAAAATAAATGTGTCCGAGAAAAATGGATTCCGTTGTAAATTGCATCTAGTTAGCTTCATAGTCTTGCATTAATTTGTGAGAATACTGATTGTTTTAATGTTGTCATGCATAAGTTGTTCTGTTATGTGAAACTTGTGAATGTTAAGAATTATGATCAGTCATATTTCAGAAGCATGAATTGACGAGGGTTGGGTTTTTTTTTTTTTTTTTAATAATAATATCATCAATTTGAATAACTTGTATGTTGGTTTTGTGTGAAGCGACAAAACCTCTAAATTTTGATATTGTAATATATTCATCTTCAACATATTACGCAAATATGACAAAGGAAACTTGATACTTTGCCATACTTGGGTAATAGATTGAACATTTAGTGGTTAAGCAAAAATGGATAGGTCATCTCGTCACTGCATGGAAAGTAGAGAATAAGCCCCGCTGTTCGTAGCATGCAAACGATACAGTGCTGTAAATTTTATTTATGTTCACGTGCTAAGGGGTTAGTCAGGAGTTTAATTCCTGGGTCTCATTGTTCTAGGGAGTTGATTATTGGGTCTCATTGCGAGCATTAAAGCTCCTTTAAGAAGCCTGAGAGGATTAGTTACTGGACTGGCACCTTAGGCTCAACAAAAAAAAAAAAAAAGAAATTAAATAGAATTAATTTAAATTATATTATACGTTCAATAAATAATAAAAATTATCAAAAGTGATAGGCCAATAGCCCATTCTTTTAATAAACATGACTTATTTATTTTAACCATGATATGAATTTGAGCCTAAACTTTTTGATAAACTTTGAAAGATTAGGTTAAAGCATATTGCTTTGGATGGAAAGGATGAGAGAAAATGAAAAGGAGAGAGAACTAGAAAGAAAATATTATTATTCATCTTGTTTGTATGAATTAAGGAGAAAAAAATACGGAGAAAAGAAAAAAAGCAAATATGAGAGTTGCTAAAATACCTTTATCTCTTTGTCAAAATATATTATGTTTAAAATTAAATTAAATATGGCAATAAAAAAGTTATATTCACGTTAATATAATCAAATAATTTAAAATAAAATTAATTAATAAAAATATATTATCAAATTTTATATTTAAAAATTAAAAATTAAAGTTTAGTAAAAATGTTATTTTTAATAGAAAAATAAAAAGTGGATGATTTTTTAAAATTAAATATAATTAAAAAATAAATAATATACATTATTTAAATTTTTATCATCAAATAATAAAAGTTTATTATAAAAGTTGAATGAGATGGAGAAATATATATATGTTAGTTACTACGAATTTCCTGCTTTGCATTGAATGAGAAAAAAGAGTTTATTTGTTGGTTTGAAATTTGGCTATTGCATAGTGAGATAATTTTGTTAAATTACAAAATAGCCATGAATAAAATTCTTAAAAAACTTGCATGAAAAGCAAAATATGCATTGTTCACTTGGCATGAGGTAGGATATATGAAGAATATGAGTTTTTAATCTTATTTTTTCTCCATGTGTAGAGAGTAAAGTTAGGGAGAAAATGAGGCAGGTTCTACACCCATTTTCTCTCCCACTCTATTCTTTTCGTTCTCTCTCCTCATCCATGTAGGAACAAAATTTATTTTGTTCTCATTTTCCTCTCTAGTTTTTTTCTTCCCTCTTTGATTTTCTATCCATCCAAAGGTTGGTTTATTTTTAACTTACTGCATTGGTTCATATCATATCACTTGATGATAATTTATAATGAAATATTTTATATGTTATGAATTTATATTGAGATTAAACCAAATCACAGTTCCTTACATAATTGAAAATGTAATTCAATTAAAACAATGAGGGAAAAAAATAATATTTGCTAGCAATATAAAATTCTCACTGTCATTTTCTTCTTTCTTTTTATTTATTTGAAGTTATTTCCAATCCTTTCTTAATGCTAACATTTGAAGTCAACCCCAAATACTGACCCTTTGGCGGCTCACCATTGTGACGCAATATGTGTCCAATGTTTGTTCCTTAACTCTTAAAAAATTTAGTTATGGCATATGTCTAGACCCATTCCTTACCCAGATCATATTTCTTCTTGGTCCATAATAAAGCCTTGTATCATGATATTACCTCCTCCGTTAAAAAGAACCTTGGCCCTCAAGGTCGAAGATTGGAAAAATAAATTGCAAAGCAACCCAAGTTGCACATATAGGTGGATCAAAACCTCCCAATGCTTCAAATAGACCCGTTAATAGTCCATTCCAATGGGGAATTAGTGACTAACAGTATTCTAACTAGAATTACTTTTAATAACAGGATATTTATACTTAGCCAAAAAAAAAAAATTGTTTGGGTGAGCAGCACCATTGATATATCCCTATTAATACAATAGAAGCTCATGTTTTAAATTAAGAATATTATATAAATTAATTGCTTAAAAGTGTATTTTTATAATTTCTCTTTTAAAAGGCCTATTGCTTTGGTTTCTTTTTAATATCATCCCCACTTGAATATTAAACAGTTTGGATCAATTTTTAATTAAATATATTTATTAGTAATTTTTAGAATAATCAAATATATTTTTTTGCCAATGCAAAATAGTCAAATACGAATCATCAAACCTAATTTACCGTCCACTAATTGCAATGAAGTATGTGTCCATTAAATCGAATTCTCTAGTCTAAGAGGATTAATTATATATACTACACTGGTTTCTTCTTCTTCTTGTCTTCTTTTTTTTTTGTTTTTTGGCACAAGAGAGGGGTAGAAGTTTGACAGTAAAAGACTGAAAAGGCTGATTATTAAATCCCAAACAATGCCAAAAAAAAAAGGGAGAGAAGAAACCAATATACTTGTTAGACATATTGGGCCTATAAGTGTATTAGGCCTCGACCCATATGTGTTTACCATTGTATTTTATTGAACTTGAATTACTCTATATATAGAAGGGTCTACCAGTCAATTCTTGTTGACTGGGTTTTCTATTTTTCCAGATTAGGTTTCTATTGGTTTACATGGTACCAGACAGCCAGTTTCGTGAATATGGAAGCCCAAGTCCGTGGGATTCGTGAAAGGCTCAGAGTGCCTTTCCATTGAGCTCGTCTGTTAAGAAAGAAAACATAGCCACGATGCCGTTTACAAAGACTTTCGTTCTTGGTTTCTTTTCCAATTGTAGGAGTGGCATACTCGCCCTATGCAACAACGCGTGGTGATCAAGTGGCCGTGTGTTTGATAAGATTTTGAAGTTGAGGTTGTGCACGAGTAGCTAGAAATAGATCGTGTTCAGTTCGTCTTTTTCTTTTTCTTTTTCTTTTCTTTTTGTTTGCTGATGTTCGCTATATATAGATGCTTCAGTGAGTGATTTCTCAGCATTCATCGCAATCTTGAGACAAGAAATCTTCAGATTGCATCCCTTTTTCTAGGTTCTTGGTTAAAATTTGTCTCCTTTCTTTAAGATTTTCTCTCCTCTCTCTCCAAATTCTCTTTGTGCACAATTTCCCTCTCAATGTTGACCATGAAATCAGTAATAGATGTGAACCATCCATTGTATCTTCACCCTCCTCACACCCAAGTGGTGACTCTTGTCCCTCAAATCTTAACTAGATCAAACAATTATGTTGTTTGGAGCTGTGCTATGCGCCTTGCCCTCAGAGGAAAGAACAAAGTAGGTTTTATTGACGGAACTTATAGTCGCACTAAGGAGCCTAAGTTGAGTGATCAATGGGATAGATGTAACGCAGTGGTATTATCATGGACAATTAATTCAGTGGATAAAGCAATAGCTAATGGGATTGTGTTTTCTAACATAGCACATCTCGTTTGGAAGGATTTAGAGGAACGTTTTCAGAGAATAGATGGGGCTAAAATCTATTCTTTACACAGAGCCATATCCACCATCCAACAAGGAACTCTCAGTGTTGCAGCATATTTCACTAAGCTTAAGGAACTATGGGATGAATATTCTCTTATCATTCCTCTACCATCATGCAAGTACACCACTTAGGCCTTTGTTAAAATTGTTCAACAACAATGATTATTCCAATTTCTAATGGGCCTCAAGCCCTCAACGATTCATATCAACAAGTTCGCTCTTAGATTCTCCTTATGTCGCCATTGCCAATAGTAAACCAAGCATACTCCATGATTATCCAAGATGAAGACCAACATGCAATTTCTTCTCAGATCCCTAATAATCCTCTGGATGGGGCCACTATGGCAATAAGGGAGGGACATCAAGCTCACGGAAGAGGCAGAGGTTGCTCTCAGGGAGAAGAGTGTTCTCATTACCATAAAAAGGGACACAAACAGGATAATTGTTATCAGCTTATTGGTTACCCTTCTAACTTCGAAGGCAGAAAGGATTTAGACCATCAAGTCAACCAAACAACCGGTGACTAACCCATACCAAGCTCTCATCTTGTCCTTACACAACACTGATATAATCAAATTTTAAAACTCTTGCAAAAGGATTCAGAGGAGGTGGCAGTCGATATTGCACCACTACTTGAAGAACATATCTCAGGTTTGCTAAATGCTATTCCAGTTTCTTTAAGTAGAAATCATTGGATATTAGATTCTGGAGCTTCCTGTCATGTTAGTAGTTTGACTATGCTTGATACTGTTAGTATTTATGTTAGACCACCTAGGAAAATAAAAATGCCTAATGGAGATAAATCACTCATATAGGGACTATTAAGCTGTTCAATTCTATCATCCTGTATGATGTTTATTATGCCCCAATAGCTGTCACCCATATAGGGACTGTTAAGCTGTTTGATTCTATCATCTTGCATGATTTTTATTATGCTCCATAATGCTGCTACAATGTGATTTCTATTTCTAGATGACTAGAGAAGTTAAATGCATTATTTCTTTTTACCCAAACTCCTGCACTTTACAGGAGATCTTGACTGGGGAATCCCATGTGATTGGTAGACTCTGTGATAGGTTGTACCTAATTGGAAAAGCAATTAAGTTGGATGCTGTTATGAATGCTACAGATAATGAACATAGCAGTCGTCTTTCTGATCTATGGCATAATCGATTTGGGCATGCTCCTTTAGATGTTCTTAGGCACTTAGAGGCTATTAAAGATGATATCCACCTTGATTTTAAAGATGGCTGTGTAGTTTGCTCTCAAGCCAAATAGACTCTGATAGGAACCAGCGTCCACTCTTAGTATGTGCTAGGAAGAAAACTGGGAAGAAGGGGTAGTTTTATGACTAGTTATTTTCTATGTTTTAAGTGGTAATTATATGCAGTTATTTCTTTTATGTCTTTTATTACTATTCAGTCATTAGGACTTATCTGTTAGTTATTGATCAGTTATGAGGCTTAGTATAAAAGCATAGTATGTAAGAAAAGCTACGGTCATGAATGAAGTATAATTTAGTAAACACTCTTCTCCTATCTCTTCCCCTAGAACTTCAGATTCTGGTTCTAGTTCCTCTTCCTTTCTTTTCCTCTCCTTCTAAATCCTCTGTTTTCCCCTAACCGGTACCTAACAATTTGGTATCAGAGCCTTTTGATCTGGGTTGTGGTGACAATATGGTCAATACCCGCAAGAAGAATGATTCTTCCATTCCTCCTCTTCTCCAGACTCCAACATCAAATTCGCCTGAAATACCCTCACATGAACCACAAGACCCTACTTCGCAGCATCAACTTTCTCAACAATTGTCTATAATTGTTGCTAAACTTAACCAGATGGATGTTGAGATTTCTGAATTAAGGAAACAGAAGGTGCCCGAGGCTATAGCAGCAAATTCCACACATCTTGACAGAACATTCCAAACAGAGAATGATGATGTTGAGGTTGAAACCCCTTGGTGGAGCAAGAATCCTAATAAGAGGCCCCATACTAAAGTAGAGTTTCCCAAGTATGATGGTGGGGACCCTAGAGGCTGGATACTTAAGGCAGAAAAATATTTCAGGTATTATCAAACACCTGAAGATATTAAAGTTAAAGTGGCAGCCATGAACTTAGAAGGGGATGCTCTTGATGTGTTTACATGGGTCTCTTCTGGACGAACAATTAATTACTGGGAGGAATTAATTCAAGTCCTTCAAGAGCATTTTGGTCCTGCTGAATTTCAAAATCCTAATGTCTATCTTTGTAGCATTAAATAGATGGGTACTGTTCATGATTACAGGCAGGAGTTTATTCACAGAGCATCACAGGTAAGAGGTTGGCCTGAACACTGTTTACTTGCAGTGTTTATTAATGGTTTAAAGGAGGAATTGCAATCTGATGTTAAAATCCAGAAACCAAGAACGGTTTACAAGGCCTCAAGTCTGGCTCTTGAATTTGAGACAAAATTATTAATGCAGAACTCTACCCGTTCTAGTCAGCGTTCAAATTGGACATGTGGATTTGAAAATAAAAATAATTTTATTCAGAGGCCTTTTTCCAGCACCACTTCCTCCACTTCTACGGCAGTTATTCCACATAGTGGGGTGCAAAAGCCAACTGCCTTGGCAGTTACCACTACCCCACTTTATTCGGACATGGAGAAGCAGTTACGCAGGGACAAGGGACTTTGTTTTAAATGTGGGGAGAAATTTTCTCCAGGTCACAGATGCAAAATGTCCTCTTTCAAACTGATGGAAATTACTGAAGATATGGAAGAAAACACTATTGAGCAAGAAGAGGCAAATAATTCCAGCGAAGCTACTATTGCAGAGATTTCTCTTCATGCTATTCTGGGTGGAACAGCCACCACTACCATGAAGCTTTGTGGTAATGTCCTATCTAAGCCTGTCCTTATCTTAGTTGACAGTGGTTCTACCCACAACTTCATCTCTTCCCAACTAGTAGCAAAATTAAAGATTCCCATAGAACCTGTTCCACCTTTTGGCGTGCAGATTGGAAATGGAAACATCATCATGTGCAAATCTGTTTGTAAGCAACTAGAAGTTCAAGTCCAAAGCCTTACAATCAGGGAAGATTTTTTTCCTTTCACTCTCGGGGCTATTGACATGGTTCTGGGAATAAAATGGCTGGCCTCCCTCAACACTGTAGAAGCTAATTGGCAGAAAATGTATATGATTTTCTGGATAGATGGAAAGAAGTACAAGTTACAAGGGAATCTTCCTCATACAGTGTCTGTGGCATCTATGAATAGTATGTTAGATGAAAATTATGATCATTGGAATTACCAGCATCTACAGCAGCTTTTGCAGCGATATTCTAGGATTTTTGAGGAACCTAAATCTCTTCCTCCTACTCGTGATCATTGCCATGCAATTCCTCTTATCCCTGGTGCTGTACCACCCAACATATGTCCTTATAGGTACCCACATTGCCAGAAGGATGAAATAGAAAAGCAAGTGGCAGATTTGTTAAGCAGAGGATTTATTCAACCTAGTGTGAGTCCTTTTGCTAGTCCTGTGCTTTTAGTGCCTAAAAAGGATTCTACTTGGCGGTTTTGTGTGGATTACAAGGAATTGAACAAAATTACAGTACCAGATAAGTATCCTATACCTAATATTGATGAGTTGATTGATGAATTACATGGAGCTACTTATTTTTCCAAGATAGACTTGCGATCTGGCTATCACCAAATTAGAATTCTTGACAATGATGTTCCTAAAACTGCATTTAGGACTCATTCTGGACATTATGAGTTTATTGTGATGCCTTTTGGTCTCTCTAATGCCCCCTCTACATTTCAAGCCATCATGAATGATTTGTTCAGGCCTTTTCTCAAAAAATTTTTACTGGTATTTTTTGATGACATTTTGGTTTATAGTGGCAATTTTGAGCAACACATGGCTCATTTGAGAATTGTTTTCTGCACTCTACAACAGCATGAGTTCTTTGCTAATCCTAAGAAGTGTAATTTCGCTCAATCTAAAATTGCATTCTTGGGGCATGTCATCTCTCAAGCAGGAGTTGCTGTTGATGCTGAAAAGATTGCTGCAGTAGTCAATTAGCCTCTACCTGACAATATTTCATAATTGAGAGGGTTTCTGGGCCTCACAGGATATTATAGGCGCTTTGTGAGACAATATGGACAGATTGCTAAGCCACTTACAGATATGACTAAGCGTGATGCCTTCCGCTGGACTGATTCCTCCAAACAAGCCTTTGAGAATTTAAAGCAGGCTTTGACAAGTGTTCCTGTTCTGTCCTTGCCTGACTTTACAAAGATGTTTATAGTGGAATGTGATGCTTCTTCAACTGGGTTAGGAGTTGTTCTGCAGCAAAATGGCCACCCAATTGCTTACTATAGCAAAGGGCTCTCTCCAACCAAGCGCCACAAGTCTGCATACTACAGGGAACTACTTGCGTTAGTTTCAGCTTTGGAGAAGTGGAAGCATTATTTAATGGGGCAGAAATTTGAAGTCCATTCGGACCATTTTTCTCTTAAATATCTATTGGAACAACGATTGTCTACACCTGGTCAGCAACGCCTTATTTTGAAGTTGCTCCCTTTTGACTTCAAAATAGTGCACAAGACAGGTTCTTCTAATCAGGGGGCAGATGCACTTTCTCGTTGTCCCCACTCTGCAGATTTCTTTGCAATTTCC